GGTGTGTGTGTGTTGTGTGGTGTGTGTGTGTGTTGTGGTGGTGGTGTGGGTGGTGTGTGTGTTGTGTGTGAAAGACTTCAGCACGAAAAATGTTGACCCTCCATTTTGTTTTTCACAAAGGAAAACATCCAAAGATAGAACCTTGAACACTGTCTCCCCTCCACGCTATTGTTCGGACTCGCCATTTCAAACTAATACCAAACCGACATAAGTAATATCGACCTCTAAATTTATCCGTAATAAAAAACGTGAAGAGACCTTTACACACATGACCTCCATATCTCCTATAAACTAACCGGGTGTCTCTTTCTGCACTCTCGCCCTACATCGAAACTCAACACAACAAACCTATGAGTCCGTTGCTTAGGACCCGAGAGTTCAATGAATAACAAAATGAGAGCTATACTGCGACTCTACGACGCGATTCATAAGCATGCTTCGACCGGTATTTGCTACCGGATCCCCATTGAATGCTGACGGCCTCAACAATAATACTGGGGCAGCTGCCCTGATGACAGAGCGAACGCTGTGGTGTCCAAAGAACACCAAGATCCCTTAAACACACATCAGAATAACCGCAGCTTCTACACGCAGAATCCCGGTGACAAGACCAGGAGAGACCCGCGGTTACCTTCGCATCCGATCAAGTTTACACTACTTGTAATACACCCAGAGACGGCCTGCGACATAGGTCAAGAATAATATCTAGGGTACCAAAGTTTGGTCCGTCGACACGTTTTCCGGGATCTTTTGGTGGAGGCAATGAGGAGCACCGCTCCTTGTATGTACATCGTAAGAGGTCGAGTTCTCGATTTTGATCTCCTGGTTCCTGGTCCCACTTTACCCTTCTCTATATAAACAAATAATCACTATATAGACTCTACATGACCCCTAAAAATCTAGATAGACACATACCCGATGAATATCACCGAGGTAACAACAGTTGTGGATATAGATTGGTGTCAGGGTTACCTCGTGTGGATTACGTCAGAATTCAAGGCCACCAAATCAGACACACACTAAACCGCGACACCTGTATTCCTGACAGTATATAGGGAAAATATACAACCAAAAGAGTGACCAATGTAACACCGTTTGTACATGTGAAGGAATGGTGGTTGTTGGTGTAACATGAGCATCAAAAAAAATCGTAATTTGGAGTATGTGGAGTGAATTGTTGAGGATATTATTCCCGAGCGTCAACACCAACTTGGACAAAATTTTATGATAGTCACAGAGGATGTGCACTAGTCCCGACAACTCACAGATATCACCGTACTAGGCCGTGGTCGGTAGGGTGGTTGTCAAGGAAAGATACTTAAGTTATGTATCAATGACCTCTTTCCACTTTCCCTTCCCAGAGGACTTCACCTTCTTATGTACACTTACTGGTCACATTAACGAAGACAAAAGAGGGGAGGACGGTAGTCCTGACACGGCAATTCGATAGACATAGAGGCTAACCCCGAGCTCAACACTTGAGCCACGCAGACGATATCACGACTGGTTCACCCATCAGAGGCAAGGGAATGCGTAGAACAACTGACAATCGCGGTGAATCCTCGCAGAGGAGCCGCAACAACAACAAGGGCCCTCCGCTGCAGCCGATTCACTTCAACACCCCCTCATGCGTGCCCGCTGACAATCGACGCCTCACTACGTAGAATTCCAATAAACAACTCAGTTTCTTGGCAGAGCAGCAATAGACTAATAGTCCGTGTACAGGTGTACTCCATCGGTGTGGTGCTAGCTCTGCTAGATGAGAGACAGTATAGAAAGCAGAGCACTTCCAAAGCAATCCAACAGCAATACTCACCTCTCAGGACGATTGCTCCCAACCACAAGAAGACTAAAGAACAATCGTAAAGAAAAACTATGACGTGGCTCTGGGAGTCTGAGATCTAAAGTGGTGGGCAGTCCTCCTTCTGCTCTTGACTTGCCGAAGCGTAACACAACCTTTGCGTCACAAGACAAGTACACAGCTACTTAAACAGATCTAGACTTGTAGCGAAGTATTCAAGGAACTAAGATACTTGTAGAAGGAATACGAAAGCAAGCAGCAGAACCGCTATATGAAAGTGCACCATGGCCTATCTACGGCAGCAGGAGAATATTACCTTCAGACCTATTCTAAGCGTTTAATGGCCGTATCGGAAGAGTATAATAAAGAAGGCTTCGACAAGGTCTCCTTACCATTGATCTTTATACTAACGAGGTGTAATAAACAAGTCATTAGCAAATTGGCCCCTAAGTCAATCCGGCCGATACCGCGCACGTCACCACCCCATAGCAGTTCTACTTAACACGCCACGCAGGCAGATGGTTTAGAGAGACGCAGCAATAATGCTCGAGAGAGATTACGCAAATCAGCGAAACCCTAAGCAATGAGCCGGAGACCTGCAACGTGAGTCAAATAGAGGCACAACAAACTAACTCAACAACTAACGTAATACCCATTCTCTATAAAACTAAAAAAAAAAGAGGAGGACAGCACTCAATTCAATTATATAAACGTCTAGCCCGGAAGACATAAAAAACCACACACATCTAAAGATTAGAGATGCATAGGGCCATACAGCAATAATCGGGCACACAGGTCCTTTACAATGTACCAAAGTAGGTTAAATCCGTGCTACATATACTCAAATGAGAGTCTACTTACGTCCTCTACAACGACCATACACACTCGATTCTCATTTATTACATCCAGTGCGGTCCTCTTACACAAAGTGTCTCTCAGTGGAAGATAGAGGCGCGACCAAACCATGACCGACACATGCAAACAACGCACTTCCCACGCAACAACGAAGGATTATATCAAAGTCTTCATTTTGTCATTATTATCTAGTCATTCGGATTGAGAGTGAAATAACAAAAGCAAAATTGACGGGTTCCGGAATTTTAATGAACCCGAACGTACGACATAAGAAACTAGGATATATGGCCCACTCTACAGAGAACAATTCTCGAATGACTCCCCTTATTCTGAATTATCACACCGGGCTTGTGAGTCCACCCTGCGTCCGGCTGTCAGTATACGAATGGTGACAGCTGACCGGCAGCGCTCCGGTCCTCGAAGGCGAGACCGACTCGCACGTGCTCACATCATGCGCGGACGTGAGACCAGATAGCGCGTCTAGTTATCCGCGAATTCCAAACGTTGCGGTACGCTCGTAACCTCCTCATGCGATGCTCACGCGTGTCCCAGGGAACTACCGTCCTCCCCTCCTATATGTCTTCGTAAGTGACAGTAAGTGTACATCAACAACGACACGAGTGCGAGGAAAGTGGAGAGAGAGGTCACAGTACGATAATAGTATCTTTCTCAGCACCACCGCCCAGGCACACTTTTCGTGATTGATACAGATCCAGAAGTGGTGTCAGGACTAAAAGCTGGACATCCCTCTCTGTCACATCCGACTCAAGACTCACTATGTCGAAGTTGTGTGTGAGGACCTCCGAAATCAATCCAGTTAAGACAATTCCTAGCCCGGACATACACATCATTCTTAGTCTTGCGGAAGCCTTGATGCCTATAACACGACGACACGGCCTATCTAACTTGCCAAGCTCGAACAAAACGAGATTACATCCGTACACTTCGTACCTATAAACTCTAACTTAAACAATGAGCTAGTAGTCGTTTATGGCACATGTAGCTTCATTCGGATATTCTGACGTAATGTCACACTTGAGTAACTACACAATACTAGAATACACAAACAAGTAGTGTTACTCTCGTCATACTAGACGTCACGTAGCGATTAATCTAGAATATGAGAGAATCTAATAGTGCAATAATGTTGGATGAAGAGAGGAAAATCGCGACACCAACCAGCACACCAGAACTCGACAGGAATACTGTATGACGGACTGGTAAATGGGACAAGTTGGTCGTCGCGAGACTCATCGCACACAAACTCGGTATTGCGAATTAATTACATAGGCTCACGAAGTATCATCCGGACGAGGGACGAAGAGAAATCAGACCAAAAAAACCTCTTATTCAATCACATTATGACATACGCCCAAACGCGACGGGTCAGTTCGTCCCATGAAGACCATACAGGTTGACTGAAGAAGGTACACCTCTAACAAATAAACTTTATTCCTTTGGAACATCTTATGTCAGCAGTCCGTCCCCGAGCAAGGTAGAAATACACTCTTCGCACATAAGTTAAACCCGCGACGTGATTTCTAGCGTTCTTCGCCCAGACTGCGAGGGAGGCTCTCGAGTTATATCTCAGAAGTGTTGGAAGGAAGCATTCGTCACCAACCGGCTATTCGTCTTCATACGGCGAAGTTCACAACGTAAAGCTATCATCACGAGTAGCACCCCAATCCAGGACTGAGGACGAAAGGGAGGACTGCAGTCAAAAAAAGGCCTGAGTTGCCATCACTAACTTACAGGCTATGCAGCGACTTCCGCGCAACGGAGGGACCCAGAGACGTAAAGGTGGAGACTAGTCAATAAAAACTTGGAGGTTTCCCGATTTTGTACCAGGGCTAGACACACATTACAAGACTTTATCACTGGAGACGGGGCGAGAGGCGGAACAGGTGAGAGAACAAGGAGCAGATCAAACCACGTACACAGGGCCAGAGGCCGTGTACAATCCGGCCACGGTAGCGGCGAGAGAGGACTCAAGGTAGCAAAAAAAATCAGAGGGCCCACAGCAAACACGGCTGCCATCGAACTGATACTGCCGAAAACACTCCCTTCTTCCAAACAAAGGAAGCACATACGTATCCCAATCAACGACAGACTAGCTTCCACAAAAGGCTCGGGGAAGAGACTCGAAAGACAGAAAGTGAAGAAAAAACTAATAAAATGATATAACGGCAAAGAAGAAAAAAAAAAGAAAGGCACCTCCGATTACTGAACTCAGGTTAGCGGCTTAGAGGCCCTAACACCTATCAGGATGACGTCAGTATTAACAGCAAAATATCGGTTCTAATATTACGCGTAAACCGGTGATGCTATTTATAAACGGCAGTCGCTAGAACACGAGTACTCTCATTTAGATTTTGTCTACACTAGAGCGTCATTACACCCGACCGGCGAGTTGTGGTGTTCCGATTTGGAAATGACCATTCAGGGAGCTATGATATAGTCAGTTTGATGAGAAGATCGTACTCACGGCTTTTTTTCCAATTATTGATAATGCTAAGTGTAATATATACTACTCCATGTCCGGCTATGTCGTATTATACGTTATCGGAAGACGCAGTTTCTTTCCCATGGATACACGGTAACAGTGAGTTCTCGATAGTAGTCATATCCGTTGTATGTCTGTTTCCGCTATTGTAACTACTACGAAGTAAGAGTCCACATCTCGTGCTGCAGCCGTTGTCACACACACACACACACACACACACGACACACCCACACACACACACACACACACGACACACACCACACACACACACACACACAACACACACGAGCACCACACAACATCACTAGTGTGTGTGTGTGTGTGTGTGTGTGTGTGTGTGTGTGTGTGTGTGTGTGTGTGTGTGTGTGTTCGAGGACCATACCTACCACCCAGCATATGCGTACATCCCCGAGTAGAAGGCCAGTGGCATACCAGATAATTTCACATTGTTCATGTCAAAGGCATTCTCAAAGTTCTTGGTCTCTCCTGCAAAAACAACACACACACACACACACACACACACACACACACACACACACACACACACACACACACACACACACACACACACGAGACACAATTATTTTTGTTGACATTTTGAAGCACCATTTCTCAGAGGGAATGTGTCAGTAATTAAATGATCTATGCAAACAGTTCTTACAAAAGACGAGGAGTGATATAGCCGAGACATTAACAATACCAATTGTCTTAAAAGTAGATTGAGTAGACAATGAATAGAGATATAGTCTGCCCTATTAGCTTGGAAATGCATTATTCTGCAGAACACAGATACTGTATGTCAGACGGATTAAAACACTCAATGTAAGAACTCTTCTGTCGTATACAGGAGCTCACATTTATGAACACAAACTGCTCATACGGACACATTAAACAGCCTGAGTCGTACTGAGGTGTAGAGAGGCGTGAATTGTTTGTGATGATGATCACTGCATGCATAGGGGTGAATATAAATAATACAGAGAGGCCCCAATTGGCTGGACATTTGTGTTAATTTGGTTTAATACAAATGTATTATTAAGCACCTTGTCAATTTTCAGATCCCAGGCAACAAATCAGGACTCTTCTTACCGCCCTTATTACATGTTACTTGTTAGACGCTTTTATCCAAAGCGACTTACATACTCAATACTGTGGACAATCCCCACAGGAGCAATTTGGGGTGAAGTATCTTGCCCAGGGAGACAACGACATGCTGACTGCAGTGAGATTTGAACCTGTGACCCCTTGATCCCAAGACCAAGGATCTAGCCACTGCGCCACACGCTCCCTTTATCATTTGATTGGATATTGTTTCGCCGTTACTGTAGTGCGTACTCACAAAGAAATTTGCAATTAATCCAAAGATCACAAAGACACTGGAATACTATAAATACGGAGCCTTGGTGTTTATCAGTATTGTAAATGTAGTTTCATTAGGGTTAGGGTTTTAAAGGTTAGTATCATACTATTTTTAGGCAATAGCATAGGCCTCAGATATATACAAATATATAAAAAACATGTCTATGAATTCTTTTGTTAAAAATACCAAACAGATCACTCATTCTAGCCTCATAAACCACATCAAGGATTATTTCTGAAACAGTATGGAGCTCAAATGCTTTTTCTCTTGCGGGTTTACCACAAGGTGAGTTCCTTTTTATTTCCTGCTTTTTTACACATGCTCTCTCAGGTTAGCTCTGAGTGTTAGCGATACTTGTTAATGTAAACAAAGACCATATTACGTCCAAAACAGTCAGGCATTGTTTCTGATAGCAACTTTCTGATAGGGCCGTGGGTCCACAATTCCAATATTACGTCGTTTCGGCAGCAAATCTGAATAAGCTCCTTTTTTAGAGATTTGCGCACGGAGGAAAAGAGAGAGGGTTTTATTTTCAGACACTTTGTGAGTTCCCTGACACACCGGGGACACATATTTAGGTATAAAAGAGATCAAAAAGTGCATTTTGCATGATAGGTCCCCTTTAAGGTAAAGTAAATACAGCTCAGCAGGTATCAGGGTCAGAGGAAGACCTAGAGCTGGTCTGCAGCTCAAGAACTCTGAATACTTTAATGAGAGAGCATTTCCATTAACATGTACTGTATATGATATGTCATGACAATGCTGAATCCAGAAATCCCCAATGCATGTGTAAGATTGATGTTCACAGTCAGATGTTGCAGGGAGGTGTTCTGAGGGTGCAGGGCCCCCTGAAGCCCCAGCTGGTTGTTGCTTGTGTGAGCAGCTGTGTCTCACGGCCCGCGTGGCCTCGAGGTTATATTTACACTGCATGTTGTTGTGTATGACAAAGGAAGCCATGTTAATTGTTACAGCTGAGCAATTGTTCCTTTTCTCTGTTGCGTGTTCCACTGCGAAAACCACCCTTCAGAGTAGTTAAACAGCGTAAAATACACAGTTTATGCTATAGCAGGGGTGTCCAAACTACGGCCTGGGGGCCAATTGTGGCCCGTCGTCCATTTTGAATTGGCCCTCATGACATTCAAAAAATATAATGGAATACGGCCCACTTTTCAAATAAATTCAAGTTTAAAACATTTTTGACTTATTGGTATGACAAGCTTGAAATATACCCATCATATTTCCCCTTAACAAGCAATCTGAGGCTTCTGTTTTAAGGAATGAGCTGCCAACACTTTTTTTAACAAAATCAATGAAACCCTAAAGAGAGCTCTGATGTATGCTGTTGGTTTTCTTAAAGCATGTTTAAAGCAAGTATCAAGCCTAATGTACGTACATTTGATAGACTTTGCTAATTTATCACTTAACTTATTAAGCAATATACATCACCTCTAGTGAGTGGCCCCCCTTAATGCTTCTTTTTGTATGTGGCCCTCAGGGGAAAAAGTTTGGACACCCCTGTGCTATAGTATATTACTAATAGAGGCCATTAGAGGAGATGCTAATAATGGTGGTGATGATGATGCTGGTGGTGGTGATAGTGAAGGTGCTTACCCTTAAAGAGTTGGTACATTCCAGGCACTATGATGACACCCATGGCCAGCAGCTTGCAGAAGGTGAGGACGATTTGAATCCTAGCTGTCCATGTCACACTCATACTGTTCAGGTACATAACAGAAGCTACAGGGACAGGAATAATATAAATGTTAAAGCAGACCATTTATTAATTAATTATACTTATTTGAACTCCTACCTGTCCTATACTGTGTTTCCAAAACTTACATTTTCTTAATGGGATCAACAAAGGTTCATCTTATTTCATTTTATCTTAACTTGTTGAATCTCATCTTATCTTATTCCCATTGTCGATATGTACTGCCATTGCAGCAAGAAGTGTCACCTTCATGGACAAAATCTGAGAGTTAGGATCTAGAAGTCAGGAGGGTTGATGGCAGCAGCAAAAAAAGTGCAGACCAAAGTTTGTGTCTCAGCACAATTCAACAGTTAATGTTTAATGTACCGTAGCTGTGTTTGAGTTGTTTAGGGCCTCGGTCAAGAGGAGCTGATGAAATGAGACTTAAATTAAAGCCGCCAAAACCAGTGCTTGTCACCAGTGGGTCTCTTGAAAATATCTTATTTAGTCAATCTTTCTGACTTTTGTAAGTTCTTTGCAATTAATGTGTCTGAAGGTCTTGCAAATGCTGTTAAAGTCATGAACAGAACTTCATCTTTTGATTGTTTCAAATAAGAACTCGTCTTGTGTCATGTTGGCAAATAGACAAGACAGAGAGTGACAATTACTGTCTGCCACAGAAATGTAACGGTTTTCAAGTACAATCATGAAATACATTTTACTGGTATTTTCTTCTCTGTCTATAACTGCACAGAGGTTACAACGAGTCAAACTATTGTAGTATGTTGACATTATTATGATGTTTTAAAGTAATGCTTGTCTAGGTATACATACTGATGCCGATGGCGGTGGCCAGTTTGACCGCCATGGGGGGGACCGCACAGGGCATGAACAGGGGCTCCAGGATGTACTGACCGAACGTCAGAGAGATGACCGCCATAGCTGCAGGCCTGGAGGACACACACACACACACACACACACACACACACACACACACACACACACACACACACACACACACACACACACACACACACACACACACACACACGTAAATTGAAATTGTTCGCTTATAGTGAAGACCCAAACAGAGCTGAATGTGTACTGAATTCTGAAAATGGCGGCAACTACTGTATGTGTGAGCAGTCTGGAATAATATGACACTTGTTAATACTACCGAGCAATTTTACCGCAAATGTAAAATATTCTAAACATTATGAAAAGGTCATGGGGACTGACCAAGTTTGGACTTTTAAAATAAAATGCTCTATAGGGGGCACTAGAGAGCCTGCTGGCAACTTCAAAGCCTTTTCACTGCAGATTTTCGCCAGTCCCAATGTCTGTGCGAAATGTTCCTGCGTTTTCGAGCAGCCTAAGACCCTCGAGCTCCCCCTAAACAGCAGAAAAATATGAATCTGCTCCAAAGACAGAGGTGGCTTGCTCTTCGTCTCTAGTTCACCCTCGGGTCTTTGGCACATTTGTGCTCTGGCCCTAATAAAGATGTGTATGCAAGGGTGTAACTTTGGTAACCATCTAAATGTAGAGAAGACTGATGGTGTGGTACCCAAAGGCAGTGGGTGAACAAAGGCCGATAGTTATCCACAATGCACCCATATCTCAGGTCAGCTGCCAAACATTCCTGAGAGTTCACATTGATAGTGCACTAAGCTGGAGGGTCCATGTTGATAGTGCACTAAGGGGCCTACAGAGTAGAGCAGAAGTTCATGCTTTTCTTTACCACGCAGTGATGGAGAGCATCATCAGCTCACAGTCTGCATGATAACCTCACACTGCAGCTGAATCAAGATTGTTCGCCTCAGGCAGACTGCCAAGAAAATGATGGGGGTTAAAAAACACCCATCCCCCCCTAAAGATGTATGAGCAGTCACTCATTAGAGAGGCACAACAAATGACATCTGATCCCCCCAACATCCTCCACCGAGAGCTCCGGATCTGACCTTCAGACTCAGGTTCCTAACACACACTGCCAGGGTCCTTTCAGCTTCTCAAGAACAAATGTAGTGTGCAGTTTAAATGTTGGCCATGAGGGTAGTGTATTAGGTGACCATTCTCAGTAGGTTGTCTGTGTATACGTGTATATGCAAACTGTGTACATGTACATAAGTCATGTGAGAATATGCTATTGGCTTTTATCATGCACTATGTAGTATTTAAGATTTTTCTATCTTTTGTGGAACTGCAGAATGAGTCCAAAACAGATTTCCTTACGGGTACGTATATGGTATTATTTCATATCGTATGTTACCTAACTTGCTTACATAGTCGAAACATTAAACTGTGGTATTCTGGGTTATGTTTGTTTGAGCCATCCTGTCCTCCCACCTACGTTATGCATTACCACCAAGTCACTGGATGTCCTCCTCTGCTCCTATTATTCTAACTATACGGCCGCTATAGGTTCACTGTCTCGTATTTGTATCGGCAACATCGTAAATAGAATGTCTTTCTGAGCGGGTGTAGTTGTAGTTCTATTGCCCCTTAGCGCCCAACATTGATAACAATTGTTCTTGTACTCAGCAAACATATGTAATGTTCTTATTTAGAATATAGTAAACTAAATGTTGACAGTTCAGCTATTTCCATGAAGAGCAATAAAGGAATATCTCCACGTATAAAGCCTGTGACAGCATTTCACAGGTGAAGGAAACTAGCCATTGAGTGGACTGGTTCCAGGTTTTATTGTCGTCATTACTATTGTATAAGGTCAAAAAATAAATTACACTTTGGTTTTCCAATCACATTATTTTCAGAAGGCAGATAAATCAATACATAACAACTACAAAAAAATAATAACATAGTGCAAATATATGTCCACTATCTTCTTAAAACTGAGTGTTTGTAAATGTTCTGGAAACATGTGTTAAGCCCTGTTTCCACAATGACAGGAGACCTGAGCCTACCATAACACACTCTGAAGTGGCAGCCCTCAAAATGTACTCATTCAGCACATATGATGGTGCGGTGTTTGTTTGTTTGTTTGTTTGTTTGTTTGTTTGTTTGTTTGTGTGTGTGTGTGTGTGTGTGTGTGTGTGTGTGTGTGTGTGTGCGTGCGTGCGTGCGCGCGCGTGCGTGCATGTGATGGGCAGCTAAAGGCTTGGCTCAATAAGAATGAAATAACAGTCGTTAGAACTATACGGTGTGGACACTCCACCCTACCCTAAATAGAGCCGTTTCCTCTTCACGAGTTGATAGTTTCAAAAAAAGTCTAAACACTTGTTATAAACTCTCTTTACACAATGAATACACATATGTCATATCTTTTACAAAATCTAGAAACTCAAGTAGAAGTACTTTTTAACCCTCGTTTTTGTTTTCACAACGTAAATATAAAAACAAGTCACATCAAGGCTCGACACTCCACTCTCGTAAAGAGACACGTACATGTGTCGGTTCCACTCAACCACTTTTGTCAGATCACCGAATATGACTCGACGGGGGGGGTTTTTAAAATACGACTGGAGCCCGATTACCCTGAGTTACTTTCGTACCCTTTACTTGTCTTCACCTTTGGCGTTTACTTTTGTTCTCGCTCCCTCTGCGTGTCTAAAGGGGCCGAAGTCGTCGAGTACGACGACACCCTTTTCTTCTCCCTTTGTGACTACTCGATATCTATTCGGACTCCGTGTCGGTTGCAATAAAGTAAGAATAACCTCGGTTCGGAAATCGACGGGTAGTGTACGGTGCTCGCGCGGCGCGCGCCGCGCG